TTCGGTGATGTCTGTGCAATAGGATTAGGGAAGCCACATCCCAGAGTGGCTGCAGAAGGAATCAAAATTTAAGTTGTCTGTGCAATCAAAGCTTAATGTCTCCAGGTTGAAGGGTCAGGACTTCAATTCCAGAGCTCTGGCTGCCATTTTGATTCCACCTGCGGCCACATCCAAGGCTTACAAGTGCAGCTCTGGGGACAAATTTTTCACACAGGAATAATTTGCTCCTGAAAGGCCACATTCTTGTTCATTTCTTTTTCCCCCCTTTCTGTGTCTTGCCCATCTTCACCAGGAGATGTTGAGAAATTGAAAAACTGACCCAATCTGCATTTCCCAGAGAAATGAATAGATCAGACATATTCAATGATACCGTTTGGATTTTTCACTTCTCAGCTTAAATTACATTTACAGTTGTGTATTCTCAGAGAGAGAAAATATTTCTATGGATAGAATGAAATTTAAAATACAAACTGAAGTGCAGGTTTTGTTTAGGGTTTTTCCCTAAATGGCAGATAAATGTGGAATCAGAATAGAAGAAATGGACGAGAGAGGACTCATTAAAATGATACAGGCCATAAACTGCCCTCAGTGTAAAACTCAACAAACTATCTCAGAATCTTTAAATGCTGGCTTCCTTTAACTACAATTGTGATTTGCACTGGTTCCGTTCCTCTCCAAAATACCCTTGGCCATGAGTGCTTCCAGGCAAATAGTGAAAGCCAAGTTGAGTCTTCTTTTTCTAAAACACTATATTCTCCTGACGTTCTTTGGAACCTTGCAATAAATCTCTCTTGGTGGGTCACAGTCTTTTCTTTCACACATTTTGCCCATATCTCCTGCCAGGACACTTCATCCACAGTCCCATGAACTGCCAACTGCCCTCTTCATTTCCTCTTTCTCAGCTGCCTGGGAAATGTGTTAGCATGAAAGAATACCCAAAGCCACAGTAGTTATGAAGACGTTGCCAATGATGTCGTTGTGTCAGTAGGTCTGGAGACTCCAAAGGACTGGGGAAATATTGAGATGGCACCCATGTAATTAACACCTGGCTCTTTGCCCAATCTCTTTTTTTAAAATTCTGTTTTAGTTTGGTACTTTTAATGACATTTTTAATAGAAATTGATATCATTTTTAACTTTGTTGTACCCACAGACATTTGATTGCGAGGTGGGTGGCTATATAAGTACCGTACAATAGATAGGTAGATGCTCCATCATTAGATGGAACGCTCCATCCAGTACTCCCATGTCCATCACACTGATCACAGAGAGTGCTCCATCATTGGCAACCAATTGACTGGGTTTGGTATAAGGTCTCCTGCCTTGAGCAGGGGTTTGGAGTAGAAGACTTCAGAGGTCCCTTTCAGCCCTATGTTTCTAAGTTTTATAGATAAATGATAGATGGCTGGTTGGATGGTTGGAAGGATGGATGGATAGATTAGATCATTTGATTTCATTGAGGGCCACATCAGGGTTGTGTTTGACCTCGGGAGGCCAGAGTAGGCATGGCCAGGCTAGACGTGACCAGCTCAGTGTCATTCCTCTCGGGGGTGAGGGTGACTGTGGTGGCCCAAGTGCTCTGCCAGCGAAAACAGGCTCCTGAGCTCCGTTTTCGGATGTCATGGCCTCCTGCAACCCTCTGCCAGTGAAAATGGAGCTCGAGAGGGCCAGTCCTTCACTGTTTCCAGGGTGGCCCCGTGAGCCAGTTCTAATTCCCCTGCGGGATTCGGGCCCTGGGCCTTGAGTTTGACACCCCTGGATTAGATAGACAGAAAAATGATAGGTAGGTAGGTAGGTAGGTAGGTAGGTAGGTAGGTAGGTAGGTAGATAGATAGATAGATAGATAGATAGATAGATAGATAGATAGATAGATAGATAGATAGACAGACAGATAGACAGATAGATAGACAGACGATAGGTAGGTAGGTAGATAGACAGACAGACAAATGAGAGAGAGAGAGAGAGAGAGAGAGAGATTTAAATCTGCAAGGAGTATAAATCCTTCCATTTCCCACCATCCAGTCAGAGCTGAAGAAGCTTCTTGGATGAGAAGCGAAATGTCTTCAAAGAAAATCCAGAAAGTCCAGTTGCCTCTTGAAAAAAGCACCTTTGGGATTGATTAAGACAGTATCTTTCTAGTCCAGTTGGTAGCTTCTCTTAATTTCCCCTATTTTTTTTTCCAAAAAAACAAAGGTAACAGGTAAATAAGAGTTGCCCCTGTGGAAAAGGCTATCTCCAAATCAGCTTTCCTTGGACTGGCACTTTCTTTATCTAATGGATTACAACTCCTATCATTCCCTTGCAAAGAGAAGTGGATCCAGAGTTTATCTTCCCCCACCAAGATCAAGACCACAGTTAACCATGTTGTGTAATAGCCTTGTGGTATAGAGACATTTGAGAAGGGCACTTCTGTTGTATTAGGGTTTGGACACTGTCCCCTTGGCAGATTTCAAGAAGCAGTAAGTGGCACAAGAGAATAAATTTGTCTCTGTACCCCCAGATTCATGTTTCCAAGGAAGCGACTTGCAATTCACAAGTGTTGGTGCCTTTTAATAAAAAATATGCCAGAAGGAAAAAGGGCTACCAGGTTCTTCTGATTGGGTATCCCTGATCCAGGTAGTCAACATACATCATGTTCCTAAGTTATGCATTCATCTCCTTCTCTTCTTGGATAAAGGAGAGTGTATGTGCTTCCTAATTGCACATGGACTGCTTGAATTCCCTTTTAAAAGTCAACACTTCTGTTTTGAAAATGTTTTGATTTCTGGTGGCCCAACTTAAAAGTCTTTGCAAGCATCTCATAATACTCCTCGGCTGGGAAAAGGGTGTTTTATTACTCCAGGATGTGGTAGGGAAATACAACATATAGTGTTGTATTCTGTTTTAGTTCAATATATCATAAAACGTTTCATTCTATTTTTGTGTCTTGGCCTAATGTGATAGAGGCAATATCAGTTTTATTTTGTTTCTTGGCACATGGTGATCTCCAGTAATCATAAAGATACCACTATTTAAAAAATAGTAAGAATCAGCATCATCAAGATGAATGAATATTACTTAAATTGCCAAAAGCTTGTTTGAATTATGATGCCAGTTCTAAGTTTGTTTTTAAACTTTTTAAACTTAAGACTAATTTGCATTGATTGACTTTATTTCCCTCACAGCAGTTACTAGGAGAACTCTCTGAGGTAATTCAGATTGCTTGAAATGAAACATTTTAAAAAGATTTGGGGAAGATTTTTAGTTTAGCGTGTTGACTTCTTGATATCTTTTTTTCTGTCTCTTCCCACATCAACTTCTTATAACTTACAGTCATACCTATCCTATTCTTACATTTCAGGGGAAGCACTGGTAGGCAGAGCACATAAAAGAAGTATGAAACCATAACCCAAAAACAATCCATTCATGACATGAGTAAAAGAAAATGAATTGCAGCTAAATCTGCAACTGAGGACCCAGTTTGTGGGGGCAATAAGCTGACTTTGTATAAATATACAAAAGTATGAAGGCTATTGCTTAACGCACTGTAAGCCGCCCTGAGTCTGCGAAGAAGGGCGGCATATAAATCAAATTTAAAAAAAAAATCAGCCCCAACAATAGGGTCTATGACAATTTGATACGGCCAACTTGCCATGGCCAACTTGCTGCAGCCAACTCGCTTCAGAACAAGTAGCCACAGCCAATTCGATGCAGGACAACTCGCTGCAGGACAAGAGTTAGACTAATATCAAGAAATGGTGGAATAGAATCATTAAAGAAAGGATGCAAAAGGAGGGACAGAATGAAATGTGAATGGCAAAAATTAAAATATTGTTTTTATTTATTTTAAATAATTAGAATTGTTAAAATTGTCCTGCAGCGAGTTGGCCGTGGTGTGTTGGCCGTGGTGAGTTGGCTATGGCAAGTTGTCCCATTCCGCCAACACTATTCACTCTATCAATAGAAGAGAATATTTGTAGCACAGGGATGTGGGGTCCTTAGTGTTCTCTGAGCTACGTTGTTTTCTTCCAGATGTTTCATTACACAACCATCAATGCTGGAAAGGAGTGGGGTTGAGATATTCTTTGTCTCTGAGCATCCTAGACCAAGCAAAGCTAAGTCCAAAATTACTAGAGAATTCCTGGAAGTCTGGCATTCACCCAAATCAGCCATCCACAGACACATAGAGATAAACAACATCTACATACTATTCAAAAGAGATAATCGAAAAGCTAAGAGACCACAACACCTGCTGGCTAGCAGTCAACAACCATTTAATGCCAAGCAGTAAAAAAAAAAATACCCCAGTCAAGGAATTGCCAACTTAGTAAACAAGAGCTTAATCAAAGGAACCACCAAGAATACTCCCACCAACACCGACAGGACAAACCATTGTCTATAAATAGAGGGAAAACCCCATTTCTTCTAGTACTGATAAAGTTATTTATTTGGGTAATGAAATGTCTGCAAAAAAAGAGATCACCAAGGACTCCACACTATTCACTGTACTTCTCCGTCCATACCTTTTTATCTTACCCAACCATTTTACATTTCGTCATATCCATTCTCTGCTTTCTTTATAGCATTTTTTTTTCCAATTCCAGTCTTTTGAGTCCCAAATGGAAGGGAACATATGAAATTGCCAAACGCTTACATAATTATTCTCTATTCATGACGAAGAAATTTGATACTGTTACGTGCTTGGAGTTTATAGCCTGATTTGTTTGTAAAGACAACCTGGTAAATGGGTTCCTATTCTTTCTTTTTTTCTTTTAAAAAAAAAGAGAGTGTTTCAGAGATAATAACAGAGCAGACTGGACTTCATGATTTCATTTCTTTGCCTTCCCCTGAAATTTGTAGAAATGAGTGTTTGAGTTTCTCTGGAGATGAGTAGGTTTGGATGCTTGACACAGCAAACATCTGCTTGGGGAAATGCAGATATTTTTTTTTTTATCCAAAAGATTTTGAATTCATTCCCTCCAACCCCACTTTGGTAAATGAATCTTCCCTTCTGTTGTACAGAAACAAAGGACGGATTTTGCTCCAAAGCAACCAGATCCCATGCCTGCTGCTCCTTCACCACCACAGATGCCGCTTCCGGTCCCACTCCCACCCTGTGTCCCTGCTCCTGTCCCCGTTCCGGTGCCAAAGGTCCCCGGGGCCATCAGCCGCCAGAGCAGCACATCAAGCGACGGTGGCCGGGATGGCCAGAGGCAAAAACTGCCACCTGTTGATCGTGAGTTTCTTTCCAGGTTCATCTTTGTTTCTTTCAGAATAACAGATTTGGAAGGGACCTTGGAGGTCTTCTAGTCCAACCCCTTGCTCAAGCAGGAAACCTTCAGCCGTTTCAGGCAAATGGTTATCCAATCTCTTCTTAAAAACCTCCATTGTTGGAGCACCTACAGTAGTGGCCAAAATTGTGGAAACCTTTTGGGAAAAGTGTATTTTTGAGGTTTGATGGCTAATAATACCACTTTTCTTTTGGAGTTTCAAGATAATCCTATTCCACTGCTGGAATGGCCTGGGAATAGCCCAGACCTTAACCCAATTGAAAAATCTATGGAGCCGACTGAAGAAACTTGTTAGTCAGAAGCAACCCAGCAATAAAACCCAGTTAATAGAAGCAATCATTCAATCTTGGTTTCACATTAGAACAGTTGCAGAACTAAAAGACTTGGTTCACTCCATGGGAAGACACTGTAAGGCCGTAATTCATGCTAAAGGTTCCCCAACTAAGTATTAACTGATACGGTGATAATTTTTGTATATCTCATTTTTTCTCTGGTGATAATTTTTGTATATCTTGTTTTTTCTCCGTGTTTCACTTTTCTTCTTTAAACTGTAACTGCTATTCTAATAGCAAGTCCTTCATAAAAGCTATTGCATTACATTCTTGATTAAATTATGGTACTACTCAAAAAAAAAGTGTTATTAGTTAGTTTTAGAAAATATGTTTTTCCCAAAAGGTTTCCACAATTTTGGCCACTACTGTACAGCTTCTGGAGTCAAGTCGTTCCACTGATGATAGAGAGGGAAGTCTGACAGATGGGAAGAAAATTCCTTGACTTTCCCTTCCCCTTCCCCTTTCCCTTCCTTCCTCCCGCCCTCCACAACTGAATGTCATCCAGAAAAAAAGTTGCTTTTTTAAAAAATGACATTCAGAGGATGTCTGCTTTGTTTAAAAGCCAGATTCCTAATCCTTGTAATAACAGGGAGAAAACATGATGATCTCTGTTAGGTGCATGATTAATTTTTACCAACAGAAGGAAGGGAGAAAGATTACGTTTTAAACATTTTTTTAAAAAACATTGCCTAGACTGTTATTCCCACTCTTGACATTTGCATGACTCCAGAACTTCGTGGTTCTTCTCTTAATCCCTGGCTTCAAAATGCAATATACTTTTGGGAATGAGAATTGTTCTTATTCCGAATTCAGAAAGGCATACTAAAAGTAGGCAGACTTGGCCACTTTTACAGGTCATGGCACAGAGAAGAGGATAAAATTGTTTGATTTTAATGTAAACCTATCCAATTCTCATTTTTGAACTTAGGCATCAATGAAATCCCAACCGCACAGGCAATTTGATGTTTGATATACGGTTTACAACTGAATGCATGTGCACAAAATATATAGAGAAAGGAACATACAAAGAGGAGCGCATTAGAGGAGAGTGTGCAGAAAGATGATTGAAAAGAAATGCTCATGCCCTACTCAGAGCAGTGCATGGAATAAAAGACACGCATGCCAAGATACTGCACATACTAATATCTGTTCAGATTTTTCTTTAAAAAAACCCCACACAAACAGATACAAAAACAATACAGGAAAGACTTGAGATTCAAAACCCAAGCATGATAAAGCTTGGCAGACATGTTCGTCCCTTGCAAAATGGGGCACGTAACAGTTTGTCTTTCCTTGCGCTCATTCCAATCAATGGGTACTCAGATGCAGATGAATACTGTAGTCAGGGGTGTTAAACTCAAGGTCCGGGGCCCAGATCCGCCCTGTGAGGTGCTTAGATCTGGCCCACAGGGCTACCCTGGAAACACAGCAAAGGACCGGCCTGCGGTGCCTCTGCCAATGAAAATGGGCTCCCGAGCTCTGTTTTCGCTGGCAGAAGGTCGCAGGAGGCCGTCACAGCCAAAAACGGAGATCAGGAGCCCGTTTTCACTGGCAGAGTACTCGGGCCACTACAGGTGCCCCCGACATGAGTAGCATTGAGCTGTCCACACCCACCCCGGCCTCCCAAGGTCAAACACAACTCTGATGCGGCCCTCAATGAAATCGAGTTTGACACCCTTGCTGTAAGTCAACAATTCTCAACCTTTTCTTCACCACGGACCCCTCCCAAGACTTAACTCAAGATTTAAATCATAACATTTCTTATAGCCTTCATGAACTCCTTGTGATGACATCACACCCTTCCCCCAGGGGTCCATGGACCACAGTTTGAGAACCACTGCTGTAGGTGTTTCGTTTCCTTTGGATTGATCTGACCCTGTCCATCATGAAGTATTGAATGTGAATCATTGAGTTGAAACTGCCAGTCTCCTCCAGTTCTCTTGCTTTTCCCCCTTCCCAGGAAGGAAATCTCAGATGGAGGAAGTTCAAGATGAACTCATTCACCGTCTCACTATTGGTCGGAATACTGCCCAAAAGAAGTTCCAAGTGCCACGCTCCAGTGCCCCCGTAGTCAATATCAACTACGAATCCTCTCCGGAAGACATTAAAGTTTGGCTACAAGCCAAAGGATTCAACTCAGTGTAAGTCCAAAGGAGTAACCAGCTCTTTTGAATGAACCAGAGCTTCAAACAGTTGTATGTATGCTTAGACAAATGACTTTGGACCTGAGGGATATAATGTGAAACTGATTTTATTTTGAGTTACATGAATGTGTAATTGCGTTGTTTCACAATATGATTGGGAAGTTATGGTCATAACTGACTATAACTATATCTCCCATGTAGGAGATGACCAGGCAGCGCCTGAGGGAAGGGGTCAAACACATCATCAGTCACGAATCCCTGCATGCCTTTCTTATCTCCCGCTAATTTCCTTTTGACTGTTAGTAGTTCAGATTCTTGTAGAGAGCTTAATCTTTATACTCATTTGAACTGCCTGAATCTCCTGATTTCCCTGATGTTTATCATTCTATTTATTTAGTTATTTATTCATCAAACAAAAATTACAAATTTGAATGAATAAAATGAGAAAACTAAAATGTGACAGGAATGATAGGCCCATTAGTGCACTTAAGCATGCCCCTTTAGGAACTTCCTAAATATGGATGAGGTTCACATGAGGTCTAGAGTGATGCTGTCCGAATGCAATTTTTGTCATTCCCAATTAGCTTGGTTAATTAAGACATGAGATAACGAATTATAGCACAATAGCATCCGAAAGATCATAGGGCCCTTCCTGCGTCTGCTTCTGTTGATTAATTAGCATCTATTCTCTTAGATGTAAAAAGGGTCATTGCTCATACGTTATTGCTCCTCACGCAGGACCGTGAACAGCCTTGGAGTTTTGACTGGTGCACAACTGTTTTCCCTCAACAAAGATGAACTTAAATCTGTGTGCCCAGAAGGCGCTCGAGTCTACAGCCAAATTACTGTTCAGAAGGCAGCACTAGATGTAAGTAGTAAACACGTTATTCATCTACTCACACTGTGGCACAGGAGATGGTCATCCTGGGCAAAGAAGTGTTTGTGGAGGGAAGTTCACTCTTGATAAAGAGTTGGGTGGCATTTAAATTTAATGAATAAATAAAAGAGGACATTTCCCTACCTTAGACCAGGGAGCAAGAAGCCATCTGCATGTGGGAACCCATCATATTTTTTGGACTTTAAGGGCTGTAGGGCAGGGGTCTCCAACCTTGGCAACTTTAAGACTGGTGGACTTCAACTCCCAGAATTCCTCACTCAGCTTTGCTGAGTATATATACGGCCCTCAATGAAATCAAGTTTGACACCCCTGCTTTAGAGGTTGAATAAAATTAAATTTCCAGGTGTTAATGACTGTGGAGAGTCTCAATCATCAAGGTCACGGTTGTCTCAAAGGTGTTTTTCCAAAAATGCAATTGGACTTTCTTGGTTTTTTTTTTTCTCTGAAAACATTTCGCTTCTCTTCCAAGAAGCTTCTTCACTTCACTTCACTGAAGAAGCTTCTTGGATGAGAAGCGAAATGTTTTCAAAAAAAAAAACCCCAAGAAAGTCCAATTGCCTTTTGGAAAAACAACTTTGGGATTTCCAGGTTTTGTAGTGTTTACTGGATTTAGCTCGGAAGAGTACGTTTCTGCAAAAAAAAAATATACGTTTTGTCCTGTGGTGAAATTCAAAAATTTTTACTACCAGTTTTGTGGGTGTGGCTTGGTGGGCGTGGTGGGCACGGCTTGGTGAGCGTGGTAGGGGAAGGATATTGCAAAATCCCCATTCCCTCCCCATTCCTAGGGGAAGGATATTGCAGAATCTCCATTCCCACCCCACTCTGGGGCCAGCCAGAGGTGGTATTTGCCAGTTCTCCAAACGACTCAAAATTTCCACTACCAGTTCTCCCGAACCTGTTAGAACCTGCTGGATTTCACCCCTGGTTTTGTCTATCCCTACAGAATTCCAGTGGAAGTTCAGAACTGCAAGAGATCATGAAAAGGCGGAAGGAGAAACTCAACGCCGCTGCCACTGATTCAGGGGTCGAATCTTTTGATGAGAGCAGTGGTCATTAATAGACTCATCTACAAATGTTTTGTGGTTTATTGTTGAGGGGGGAAACCTGTTGTTCTTGGCATTGTTCCATCATGCTTTGTTTTAGGAAGCCATGAGGGGGAAATGTCGGGGGATTGTCTCTATTTATGTAACTAGGATATCATGCCATTAAGGGAGCATGCAGTTGGGAGCCAAGAGGGAGGATACAATTGCTGTTTTGCCTCTCCCTTGACGGGAAAAAAAAATATAGAGAAGAATATTATTCCCTGGAGGGGTTCCTTAACCAGGCCTCCTGAGAGAGAAAATTCATGCTTTGCTCATCTTTTTTCCACAGCCTAGCAAAGTCACATTGCAATTTTTTTGAGTTGCCCTCAGACTGAGCCATCTGACGAAATGCGTTGAAATCTGCAGTCAAGCAGAAAGTCCCAAAGGCGCGATCCGGCCAGCGTTGATTCTCTTGTCCAGATCCCATTGATTTCAACCAAAAAAAAAAAAAAAAAAAAAAAAGTGAAACTGATATTTAAATGTCTGCCATTGAAAATCAACAGGACCGCAAAGGGTTTTATGATGGCACAACATTCCTTTTATTCATGCCATCCACACCGTTTGCCATAATTATGGACGGCGGCTTTTCTTATCTTCCAGCACTTAAGATTTCCACATTTATGTAGAATTTCCCAGATGTATTTTTTAATTATATGATCAATGACCACGCTAATCTTACAAGCACAGATTAAATTCTTCTAACGGCATCATGTCATGATTTCTTAATGGAAGTGTACATAGCAGTGTAATTTATTCTGCATTTCAATTATTGGTCTGTTTTTTGGGGGAGGGATAAGTACGAATCAAGGAAAACACTAATACAATAAACAATAGCACAAATTTTAAAAATGTAGGGGCATTTAGATCTTATTTTGATATCCATGTGGTAGTTCACAGTATTATTTCTTACTAGTATTGCATTTTTTTTTAATTTAAAAAATATATATATTTCATGAAAAGGAAAGGGAAAAAAGGGGGGAGGAAAGAAGGTCTTTATAAATGGTTTTTTTTAAAGCTACAAAATTCCCTCTTGATTTCCAATTTAAATCTTTTTTTAAAAAAATATACCGAAAATATTCCAGTAAATACAGGAGTATAATTTTTTTTTTCTTCTGTGCAAAATGTTCTTTTCTGTCACATGGCACATCAAGGCAAACTAGGAAAAAAAATGTCTCCTTTGACCAACCTAGATGAGATGTATTGATTTTTATGGTGCCTTTTTTTTTCCGTGACTCTTCAAAGTCTGCAATAAACACTGATGTACGTGAACTGATTGATGTACGTGAAGTGGTTTGCATTGTCTGTTATGAGAAAGAGGATGCAAGTTTTTCTTTTGAGTTCCAAAGAACAGGTGTCTTTTTTAAAAAAAATAAATAAACCATCAGCAGAGAGTGATGGGAATCATCCCAAGGCAGTTCTACCACTTCACAAGTTTGAAAACGTCTTTCTACTTCGTACAAAAACTTCCCCCTCTCAGTTCAGAAGGTTCTTTCTTTTTTTTAAGGATCCCTCTAATGTACCTGCTAGAAATCAGTGTTTCTCCAACTTAGAATACAATAGAATAGAGCTGGAAGGGATCTTGGAGGTCTTCTAGTCCAACCCCTTGCTCAAGCAGGAGACCCTATGCCAGCGATGGCGAACCTTTTCAGCACCCAGTGCCCAAACTGGAACATGCATGGGCACCGGAAACCCGAAGACCAGCTAGTCGGTATGCGTGCACATGCCAGCCACCTGGTTTTTGGATTTCTGATGCGTGCTGGCTAGCTGGTCTTCGCATGCTCCAGAGCATCAGAAACCCAGGTGGCTGGCATGCGCATGCTCCAGCGTGTGCAAAGACCACCAGGCTGGAAACCAGAAGAGCAGCTGGCAACTGTGTGCATGCTCTGTGTGCCACCTCTGGCATACATACCACAGGTTCGCCACCACGGCCCTATGCCATTTCAGACGGGTAGCTGTCCAGTCTTTTCTTAAAAACCTCCAGGGATGAAGCGCCTACAACTTCTGAAGGCCAGCTCTTCCACTGGTTAATTGTCCTCACTATTAGGAAGTTTCTCCTTAATTCCAGGTTGCTTCTCTCCTTGATTAGTTTCCATCCATTATTTCTTGTCCTGCCCTCTGGTGCCTTGGAAAATAAGTTGACCGCCCTCTTCTTTGTGGCAGCCCCTCAAATACTGGAATTCTGCTATCATGTCCCTCCCCCATTAGTCCTTCTTTTCTCTAGTTTAGCCATACCCAAATCCTGCAACTGCTCTTCATATGTTTTACCCTCCAAACCTTTAATCATCTTAGTTCTTCTATGCCAGTGATGGCTAACCTTTTTGCCATCGCATGCCAAAAGCAGGGGTAGCACGGGGGGGGGGGTTGTCATACGCACGCGTGCCCACATCCATAATTCTATGCTCCCCCCGCTTTTGGCACGTGATGGCATGGTGGGCTCGGTAGGCCCATTTTTCGCTCTCCCCAGGCTCCAGAGCCTTTCTAGGAGCCTGGGGAGGGTGAAAACAGCCTTCCCTACCCCGGAGCCAGAAACAGGTGTTTCCTGACTTCTGGTGGGCCCAGAAGGCCTGAAAATCAGCTGGCCGGCACACGCATATGTGCCGGAGCTGAGCTCACCTGCCCACTGATATGGCTCCACGTGCCACTTGTGGCACCCGTGCCATAGGTTCACCATCACGGTTCTATGCACTTTTTCAACAAAGTCTCAACATTGTTTTTATAATGTGGCGACCAAAACTGGATGCGGTATTCCAGGTGTGGTCTTATTAAGGATTTATAAAGCGGTACTACTACTTCATGTGATTTTGATTCTATGCCTCTGTTTATACAAGCAAGGATTGTATTGGCTTTTTGGCTGCTGCCGCACACTTTTGGCTCATGTTTAAGTGATCATTCACTAGGACGCCAAGGTCCCTCTCACGCTTACTGTTTTTGAGCCAGGTTTCACCTAATCTGTACCTGTACCTTTGGTTTTTCCTGCCTAGGTGTAAAACCTTGCTTTCCTCCACATCAAATTTTATTTTGTTGGGTAGGGCCTATTGTTCAAGTCTTTTAAGATCCTTTTGGATCCTGACTTTAAACTTTAAGATATGTGGACTTCAACTCCCAGAATTCTCCAGTTTATCATGCTGGCCAGGGAGTTCTGGAAGTTGAAGTCCCCATATCTTAGCATTGCCAAGCTGGAGAAACACTATGCTAGAAGGTTTTGAGAGGACTTGGAAAACATTTCACAGTCCAAATTCTTGAGTTCAGTGCCCTGTTTCAAGCAGTTATTTGAAGTTTGAGGTGGTTTCACCTCACCTTAGTGGTGTGGTCAACCCATTCTGTTTCATTCTGAACCGAGCTTGAAATGGTCTTATTTTAAGTTGAAAATGGAGCTGCTTCAAATCCAAAGCACTTCCACATTTGTCAGAACCAGCCCTTAGGGAAGCAGAGATGTCAAGAATAGTGATAAGATTGAAAAAGACACGGACAAAATAAGGGACTGAAGGAATAACCATCTGGTAAAAATATCTATTGAAAGAAGATCGGAGGTCATTTATATATGTTTTGAATTTTGTTTTGCTTTCTTTTCATCTATTGCACTTTTCTTTTTTCCTTACTCTTTTTCTCTTTCTCTTTTATCGTATAAAAAAATCTTAATAAATAAAATACTTTTTTAAAAATAGTGAACTTGACTTCCCCAAGGCTTTGCCCCCTTTGTGCATGCATTTGATACTAACACACGTATAAATTTGAACAGTTACAATGGCCGTCTGTATTCTTTCTATCCCCCCACCCCCCCACCTCCACCCCCCAATTCTGCAGACAACCTTGTCATATCCACATTGGAGCAATTTCAATAAGTAAGAGCAACCCATTTCAATTCAGAAGATTTTGGTGTACTTCTAATTATTTAGATGCGACCCTCCAGTTACACTAGTACACTATATATCAGTGATGGTGAACCGAGCCAGGGGAATGTCTCTTGTGCGGGTGTCGTGGCAACGTTCTGGAAAAGCTGAACTTCTGGGTTCTAGCACACATGCGCACCCGACAATCAGCTGGCCGACGCACATGCACACACCAGTTTTCGACACACGATGGACAGTTGATCATCAGCCGTGCATGTGTGCCAGAAACCTGGAAGACAAACAGGCAAGGCCGCACGTGCCAGGCGACATAGCTTTACATGCCACGTTGAGCACATGTGCCATAGGTTCGTCATCACAGCTATATATATATATATATATTTTCAGCAGGATTCAACTAAGTATGGAGACTTGCCCCAGGTTATTTGAAAAATCATCTTTTCCCAGTTACATCTACCCAACTCACCTGAGTGGGAAGATAGGGTGTATTAGGGATTTCCTCTTCCTAAGGCAGTCCATCTAGTGGGACCAAGGAGAAGGGCCTTTTCTGTAGTGGCTCCAGTAGTGGGTTGCCCCTGGTTCAGACCAATTCGCAAGAACTGGTAGTAAAACCGGCAGGAGGCTCCACCCATCGCCCCAGATGTCATCATAGGCAATCTGTGCATGCGCGTTGCGAACCAGTAGTAAAGGTAGATAGAACCCACCCCTGGGTGGCTCCCTCCCTGTGGAACATCATCCCTAAGGAAATATTGGCCCCTCACATTGATATGCTTTTGAAAGACCCCGAAGACATAATTTTGCCACAAGGCCTGGAGACACCAACGTGATATGGAGCCTATCAAGTGGTTGGTTTGATTGTTGTCATTAGGGGGGTGGGAATTTATTGGGTTTTGTATATGGAGTTTTATTTCTATAAGCTACCTGGAATCGCCATGAGTGAGTTGAGAGTATTTTTTTAATTAAATATTTTTTAAAAAAATAGGTACTATTTAAGAGTTTGACTCTTATGGACTAAATTTTACACCACTGTGAAACTTTTCCCATGCTGAAGAAATAATTCTTCAAGCTTTTCCCGATTTGTGAAGATGTTAGCTTTCACAATTCTCAACTGGCAGATACAAATTGTGGGAACCCCTCCATGCATGTGAGAAGGCCAAACTCTTAAATGAAAAACCAGTTTCACCATCAAATGGAGCATCAAGATTCCCCATCTGGTGCCAGTATGAACAGACTGGACCCGAAAGATTCCCTCCCTTCAAGACAACTCCAAAATAAGGAAAGTCAGATATGTATTCCTATCTCTCAACTGGAGGAAATCAGTAGGTGAGCTGATGCAAGGAACAAAATGCTCGTTTTGCAGAGATCCATGACATGGACACAATAGTGTCCCCACTTCTGTGTGCCCTGTTTCCCTGAAAATAAGACCTCCCCTGATAATAAGCCCAATCAGGCTTTTGAGCACATGTGCTAAAATAAGCCTCCCCCCGAAAATAAGCCCTCCCAAAAAATATTTAAACGCAGAGCTGGAAATCAGGTAAGACGCAAGAAGACCCATCTTGCTCCACGTGCCCCAAAATAATAAGACCTCCCCGAAAATAAGGCCAAGCGCTTATTTCGGGGTTCAAAAAAATATAAGACAAGGTCTTATTTTCGGGAAAACACGGGTATGTGAGAATGCTGACAATGTAAACAGTTTATACACAATGAGGAATCCAAAATGAATTTTGTAATTCAAAGGAAGTTTTGTGTCCTGCTGCCTAACCTGTGGTCAATATCATGTTGGCATATGACCTATTAAGGTTAGGAGGCTGGAGGCTTAAAACATACGAAGAACAGTTACAGGAATTGGTTATGTCTACTGAAGAAAAGTACTAGTGGTGACTAGTGGTGGGATTCAAGTAATTTAACAACCGGTTCTCTGCCCTAATGATTTCTTCCAACAACCAGTTTGCCAAACTGCTCAGAAAGTTAACAACTGGTTCTCCCGAAGTGATGAGAACTGGCTGAATCCCACCACTGGTGGTGACATGATAGCAGTATTCCAATATTTGAAGGGCTCCTACAAAGACGAGGGGGGTCAAACTATCTTTCAAAGCACCAAAAGGCAAGGCAAGAAACAAGGATGGAAAATAATCAAGGAGAGAAGCAACCTAGAACTAAGGAAAAGTTTCCTAATGGTGAGAGCAATCAACCAATGGAACAGTTGAACCAATTGCCTCCAGAAGTTGTGCGTGCTCCTCACTAGAGGCTTTCAAAAAGAGACTGGACAACCATTTCCCTGAAATGGTAAAGGGTCTTTTGCTTGAGAAGGGTTGGACTAGAGGATCTCCGAGGTTCCTTCCAACTCTATTATTCTATGTTCTATTGCTGAGGGCCCCCAATATAAGATTCACTCCATATTTGCGTTCATTTTTTCCACAA